CATTTTTTTTTTTTAATTCTATATCGATCGACTATTGATTGTAAATTTAACATACTTGTAAAATCTAGTCATTGTGTCAGCATTGTTACACAGTAAATTCTGTCAGTAGGGAGCAAAATAATTACGATCGTATGTTTTTGTCGACAGAACTAGAAATAACTAAATAGTTTTGGGGTTTTTTTTTTCTAAAATTTGTTTTAGAAAGTTTTGACTCTCAATCTATATTTCGTGCATTGAAAATTAAAATTGATTGAGAGATTTGATTTTTACGGTTTATCAACCCATTATAAGTTATGAAAAGCCGAAACATACAGTAGCGGCCATAATATAAGGAACGGAAACAACAAAGACATAAATATGTGCATTACTTAAAAAGTAATGCAGGATTAGCAATGAAATTTTTACCGCCATTTTTACAGCCATTTTTTTTTTTTGCCATCTAAGAGGACTGATATTATGTAACAGCTCAGTAGTCTCAGTTGTCTCTTCTTTGTTTCTAACGAATTTTCTGTTTCTTAATATTTTTGGAGTTTTCTTTCAGTGTCTCCTTTCAAAACTGTCTCATCTGCATATCTTATGTTGTTAAGATTGTGGCCGCCAATAATGAATCCTGGTAGGAGTTCTAATTCTCTCAGAATCGCTTCGTTGTATCGGCTGAATAAGTCCGGTGAGAAGACACATCCTTGTCTTATAGCCCTTTCTATTTTTGTATATCTACTGAACTCATTTTCTATCAGTATGCATAGTTTTCCCTGAACTTATGAATGCAAATACATTTACTAAAATGAATAATTCACAGGAAACTTGGAAGTCAAAGGAATGAAAGAAGGAAAAAGGAACAAAAGAAAAGAATAAAAGGAGGGGGAGTAAGAATTGGCCTATAATAGAGGGAGGGAGTTATATAGATATAGAGGGTTAAGGGACCTAAAGTGGTTGTGGTGGTATCGGGTACAGATAAAATAGACACTGACATAAATGTAACCTATCAACATCTGTGCAAGGAAGAAAAATGAACAAAAAAGGCTATGAAACATTTTAGAGAGGAGCTTAAAATTAGTATCTTTATCTATATAGTAAAAGTTACAGTATAAAAATTTATGTAAATTATTAATATATTAATTTCATTTAAATCAAGCTCATTATCTCAATGTAATATTAATAAGTTTTCAAATATTAAGTTTACAATTTAAATATTAGATGCTTTACATTTTCATGTGGATTACTACTCTTAACTTCACTTGAAGTTAGGGGTAGTCATTCACACAAAAATAGAAAAAAATATTTGGCTCACCGCCCCTTCTGTAGATTATCTCGAATTAATGTTGGACAGATTTTCCTGAAGCTTATAAACAAACATTTTCAGAATTACATCTCTCTAGGTAAGATCTTCAATAGGAAAGCATTAAAATAAGTTATTCGTGTACTTACAACATGTTTAGAGTAATTGACTCCCACAACAAGTATGTCCTTAACAAATTCAATGGTGTCAACAAGAAATCTAATAAAAAAACCCTTGTAATTGTAGAAATAGCAACCTTTGCCCAGTTGAGGGAAAATGTAGAGCATCTAATATGAGATAGCTTAGTCTTCAAGAGAAGTCAAGACCAATTTTATATTTTCTGGAGCCTTACGTATAATGAAAAACCGCGAAATACTGTTTAGAAAAGCATTTTCTCGCCATAACTCAAGCCATTTTTTTTTTCAAAATTTGACACGATCGTTATTTATGATACAACAATTGTTTTGATCAATTTTTTAAGGTCATTTTGCATAAAATTACCTTTTTTTGTCATTAACTTTCTCAGTTTGAAACCGATTCACTGTAAATTTTGAACGAACATTACTTATGCTTGAAGGAATGTTTCAAACTAATTTTGTAGCAAGTTAATACGCTTTAAATTTGCAAATTATTTGATTAGACTGATTAAACATCTGCTATTTAATTAAACTGATTAAACTTTACTTCGCTCCAAATTTGGCAAGAATATTAACCATGCATAAGGAATTGCTTTAAATTAATATTTTGTCAAGTTTGTTCGCTTTAAATTTGCTATTTATTTGATTAAACTTATTAAACTTTTGCTATTAATTAAACTGATTAAATTTTACTCCGCCTATGGTGTGATAACAGGGGCTGAATTGTGAGCATAACCTTGGACATATAGGCGTGAACACTATTAATGCCTTTCCACCATTTTAGCGTCTTATTTGGTGTAAACTACTGTTTAAATCACGTCCTTAGTGTTTATTCACTTCCTTTTATTACCAACCACGATCATAATGAAACACACATACCGCTCGAGCTCCACACTGTAAAATTACTATATAACAGCTACACACAGAATTTCACCATCCAAAATACATCCTTGATAATGGCTAGAGAAATAGCCGAAAACATTCGGAACAATTACAACTATTGACAATTCCTATAAAAAAAAAACGGAAAATGTTAAGTTGCTGGAAAAAATTCAATAAAAGATTAATTGAATCTTCCTTGTCGGCCGTTTTGAATGAAAGATGCGATTTTATATATAAATATATATATATATATGTATATATATATATATATATATATATATATATATATATATATCAGTGGCGTAGCTAGAGTAAACGTCACCCGGGGCGGTCCGCTCAAATGTCACCCCAATGACCCCGATTCACCCTATGCTGAATGGTTAGCTGTAGCTAAATTTTCATAAACGCTCTACCTCTACTTTACTCTACTGACCGATACGTTACTGTTTACGTGTATGATCCAAGACAAAATCCAATGCCACAAAATAATCAGTTCAAATCAAAAGATTTTTAAAATGCAACTGTTCACTTTCAGAACAACTAAATACAAAAAACGGCAATACACAAAAGAATGACATTCGATACTATGGTCTTAGAATAAATGTTTTCTTGTTTTCATTGTGGCAAACTGGTCAATGGCATCGTCAAAATCTGTTTGTCTTGTAAGCTCGTTTTCAATGGACAGCACAGCCAGATCCGACAGTCTCGACTGGCTCATGGTTGATATAATTTTCTGTTGCTAATTTTCCGGTGTCCAATTTTCCGTTGCATCATTTTCTGGGTACCATTTAATTATCAATGATGTTTGAAAGTATTTTTCTTGACAAAAATTGTTCTATTTAATTTTTAAGCATTTTTCGGAACATTGTAAATCAACTGCATTCTTTTAAAGGTTACCTAGAGAATTTATGCAAAGTTTATTTTTCTGTTTTTCTTTATACAAGTAAAATAAATTTACATCGTATTTTGATGTTATTATGATTTTAGTTTTAGTGATAATTTAAAAACAATAAATATTTGTCATTAGTACCAATAATGGAAAATTAAGTTAAAAATTTAAAAGAATCGTTTTTGGAATCGGAAAATAGGCACAAATTTTTCTGATACCCCCAAAAGTTTCGATTTTTCCGATTCTCGATTCCGATTCTCGATTCCGATTAATCGTCCCAACACTAGTAGATATATTCAAAAGTATATCGCTCACTCAATGGAAATTTGTATCTCAGCGACTTGATACACAGGCATGACTGAAATTGTTGCACTTTTGGCTTCGTATTTCGCTTTGTTGTTATTAATGATGCGGAGTTAAAACACCATATCATCCGATAAAATGTTACAACAATGTCTCTTGTTAGTAACCAAGATTGTAGCAACTGAAACACATGAAAGCTGAAAACATTGCTATTTTTCCTACTCACATATTTCCTGACAATTTATTAGAAAATTTCTGACGGGGGTACAAAACTGGGGGGTCATAAATTATTTCTGGGGGGTCATATGCCCGCCTGCCAAACCCTGTCTTCACCACTATTTTCAGACTATTTTGGGCACCTTAGCCTGGTTGAAAAATTTTGTTGGGGGTGACATTGTGTCACCCCTCCTGTGCTGACACCCGGGGCGGTCCGCCGCCCGCCCCCTCCCCTTAGCTACGCCATTGATATATATATATATATATATATATATATATATACTCAAATGAATAAATATAAATTTACATGTAAGTGCTCAAATACAAATATATATATATATATATATATATATATATATATATATATACTTTGGTGTAAGAAAAAAGTGCTCAATGCTATATAATAAAGCTATTAAGCAATATATATATATATATATATATTATACCTCACTGGTAGCACGATTCGAGTTAAATGAACAACGCAATCTTCATATGCTGTGTTAATAATATGTATATTTATTAATATATATTTTATAGGAAATAAGAGATAACGGAGTACAAAATATTCCATAATGTCGATTGTCATAAACGTTTCCGGACACTTCTTCAGCCATTTTCTAGCGAGTTTTATTTTAGGTTTTCTTAGTTTCTCTTCATGCTTTCAATGTGTATTTTATTTTATTTTTATTTTTTGGAATATTAGTAGGAGAATTTACTCCAAGCCTTCGCGTGTTGTGCCCGGCTGGAATTCGAGTGTGTGTCATTCTATTTTCTAAAAAAATTAACACTCCATTCCCATTGTTAAATAAAGTGAGGTTTATAGTGAGAGAAAGATGTTTAATATCCATTTTCAACCGTAACTTATTTGAGATGTTTCCGGTAATAACATACATACACATACAAACAAATAAAGCATTCTTTCTTTTTTTTTTAAAAATCCACATTACAACCAAAAACGTTTGCGGTTTCTCTTTTCTTTTTAATATACACACTTTTCTCTCGTTCGGACTACTATAACCTCTTTTCTGGATTTTATATATATATATATATATATATATATATATATATATATATATATATATATATATATATATATATATAACCTTGATCTATCTATCTAATATTATCTAATAAAAAAAATAAATATTAACATATTTTTGAGAGGATATTAATGTGCTAAATTCAAACCAGTTTTGGTTTAAGATTACGTTAAGTAAAATAGACCAGCAGCAAATATGCAGAAGAGATTTAGTTAATTGGAAATTGTACAGAGATCAAAAGCTGCAGAACATAAATGTATCAACTATGCACTATCTATCTATCTATCTATCTATCTATCTATCTATCTATCTCAGTCTGTTCTTATCTTTCTCAATCTGTTCATATTTATCTCACTTTCCTCTTTATCTATCTATCTATCTATCTATCTAATATTATCTATCGTAGACGAAACATAACACATTTTTGAGAGTGCGTTAATGGATTAAGTTCTTTCAAACCAGTTCTTGGTTTAAGCTTACAAAAATAAAATAAACCAACAGCAAGCAGGCAAACAGCAGTGGTTAATTGGAAAGTGTACAGATATCGAAAATCCGAAGAACACAAACGCAATATGTATGCATCAAGAGATCAAATTGTAGGACAGAAAACGTGCACATCGGCCAAATGTATAAAATTAAACAGGGAAAGATCATTATGGAAAAAGAAAATGTACTGCAAAGATGGAATAACTATGTAGTGGATTCTGAATAATTTCGTCACAAATGAAGCCAAAGTCTGAAGTGACGGCGATGTGATTCTACTGACGAATGTTAAGAATACCACGGACACTGTATGTGACAAATGAGGAAGTTTTAAGAATAGAATCTACATGCATATTGTTCCTAAAAATCAGAAAGAGCTGTAATTTTGTGGACGCATAATCAAGAAAGAGAGCTTGGAGAATGTAATACTCACAAGACAGCTCGAATGCAAGAGACGCAGAAATGAAAAGTGAGTAATATAGTGGACAAATTTGAGCAAATGGATGAAGTAATAAACGTCAATGATTGATTTTGAAAAATATTGTTGAGAGTAACAAAAGACGGGAAGCTGTGGAGATCCATGACCACTCACGTCCTTAAAGGATATGACAGATATAGATAGATAGAGAGAGATAGAATTGTTGGTTGCTTGGTAAATTATCTTAAGTTACATACTAATCAATAGTTGACTGAAAGCCATATTGAGAAGTTAATATTTTCATTATTGCAGTGGTGGGTGGATACTGGTGGGAGTCTTTGAATTAATTCCAGCGAATTTTTAACAGAATATTTGAAAGTATTTCGTAAAATTCGTGCCTCTTTTGCCTTCAGCGTTCAACAGCTTTCAGCCAACACAACATAGTGATCACCCCCCGATACCCCCTGACCCTATTCATCCGGCTGTTTTTATTCCCTTGAATGAAACATGAACGAAGTGAAACGAAAATATTTTTGCTGATGTTGAAAATGTGAGAAAAATGAAATAAACTGTTGAAAGCTTAGAACAAAATCTGCACTGAAGATTTGCATAAATATTTCCAGCGACTAGAAAAAAATAATTGGGACAAGTGCGTAAAGAGGAGAGTAATTTTGGAAACAAGAGTTTTAATTTGCGAAATCTTACAAGAAACTTTTGAATAATTTCGGCTATTTGGGGGACACCTTGCTATACCTACTGAAATATCTCAATTTTTAAAAAAATCTGATGATCTAATTTATATAGTGTTGTGGTAAGAGCCGGTTAACCACCTTACTAACATGAATGGACGGATTCATTCATGATAAGTAGTCCTGGGTAATTGCCTAGAAGTAAAAGAAAATAATACTATTGCAGTGACTTGAGTACTGAATACTACTATCATGACTGATTTTGTTGAGTTAAATGTTGTGTCATGCCAGACCCCCCCACAACACATCAGTTGACAACGAAGATGAGATTCAGCCTACAGAAATGTTGGATCTTAACCCCAAAAACATAGGAAGTGAGTCTCAAAAGGGGAGATATTGTGGTAAAAGCCGGTTACCCTCCTGACTACCATAAATGGATCAATCCATTCATGATAAGTAGTCCTGGGTAATTGTCTAGAAAGAAGAAAATACTATTACAGCGATTTGTCTAGTTGAATATTGAATATTACTATCACGACTGATTCTGTCGAGTTAAGTGTTGTGTCTTGCCAGCGCACCCCCCCCCACATCACAACATATAAAGTTCGATATCACTTTTTGTTTCGTCAAACGAATTAAACTTGAAGCGACAGCCACACCAACTGAATGTATCATAGACGTAGAATCAAACAGAGAAGTGGATATTATATCTTAAGATGCACAATGTACGAGAGAGCTTAACACTGGGGTTTCTGCGCAACCACGTTTAGCTGAAACTAAGAACCAAGTAGAAAAATACATTTGTAATAAGAAATGAGTCACTAAAATGATTACGACCATTAATTTTCAAAATAAATCAGTAAATTTTCTTTTCTTTTTTTTTTTAGATGTGGTCCAAAACATTGGCTGCCAATACTTTTATTTGAGTCATATATACGTCATAAGAAAGGCTTCAGGAGTAAACCCTGACAACAAATCCGTAACCGGAGTCCCTAAGACAGTTCGATGTTATGTTCATCTTTTTTTCTGGCAACTACTGCAACTGTCTACTAACGAAGAGGGGATCCCAAAGGTCCTTCTGTATGGGGAAATGGTCACCTACAAGGGGGCATGAGAGCGACCTCATCTTCACTTCTAGGACGTCTATAAGAGTGAGATGACGGCGATGGACATGGACAGCGAGAGTTGGGACGGCGTAGCCACTGAGAGCTGGAATGAGGAGAGAAGAAACAAGAGACTTGCTGCCGGGTGATGCGTGCTCAAAAGAAAGCAAAAAACACACGGAGGGGGGAGCGTCTTCACATGCATCCGTTGTAATCGACACTAACACTCCTGTGTGGACTTGTATAGCCATAATAGATGCTGCGCCGTCATAAACATCTGAGACATAACACTCTGGGCTCAGATCCATCCGATGGATGCCATATATATATATATATATATATATAGCATCATATTTTTTAAAATAATTATAATTTAAGCTGGATGCCATATATATATATATATATATATATATATATATATATATATGGCATCCAGCTTAAATATAATCTTTTTTTTTAATAATTATAATTTAAGCTGGATAGCATATATATATATATATATATATATATATATATATATATATATATATATATATATGGCACCCAGCTTAAATTATAATTATTTAAAAAAAAATATGATTCTTAATCTTGATTCCTGATAATTTAAGCTGGATGCCATATATATATATATATATATATATATATATATATATATGCCATCTAATATGATATATATATGGCATCCAGCTTAAATTATAATTATTTAAAAAAAAATATGATTCCTTCGCTACATTAGAGTTCTCATGTTTAAAAATCGAGAGCCAAAAACCTTAATATAATTATTAAAATTAACTGTTAAATAAGAAATAGTTTGTTGTATGTTTTATAACATGTTTTCATTTTTCAAAACATGGTCAAGATATTTAACAGTTAAAATATTTAATCCTTGAGAATCTCTAAATGTATAGCCTAAATCGTTCAGATATAAAGAACAATCTGACAGTTTTTATGTAATTTATCATCTGAAAAGAAAAAAAAATATTAGATCGCATGAGAAATTGTATAAAAAACTAAATAAAAGCACCTTGTCTGTCGTATTCAATGAAATGTGCATGAAAGAAGGATTGCTGCCTAAATACACAAATATATATATATATATATATATATATATATATATATATATATATATAATAACACTGGGGCAACCCCAGCCCTCAACCTCCGACGTCTTACTCTCTGGGTTGAGGTGTCCAGTCGGTCCTAACCCAACTTAAGTGAGTGGCCATAAGTCCCATGAGCATCCGTAGATTATTCGACCGGTCCCCTGGTTTAATCCTGCTTCCTGCCCACGCTGTGTTCGGTTTGATCCAGAAAGCAGAAGTGATGTTCATCCATTTACGGTCGATTGAAGATGTAGACAAGGCTGGAGAGTCTGCGCTAAGAAATTTAGAATGCCACAAAAAAAAATTAATATCTGCAGAAAGCCGAACAAACAACTATTCAATGATTGAATTGTTAATGTCTTTCATATAGCAGAAAAGAATAGTCTAGAAAAGAAAACGGGTTACAGAAAAGAAAAGTAATTGACGTAAATACGCATACACTGGATTCTGGAAACAGAGAGAGTGTGTTATGATTAATTTGTTGTTAAATTGTCTCAGAACGATATACGACTCTTGCGATGGGGGAATAAGATTTCTGTGCGCGGCTTAAAGTTTATAGTGGCGTTCCTCCTTAGCAGTAGTAACAGTAGTAGCAATATTCGTGGTAACAGAAGCAGCGGTACTTATATGAACAGCACATGTTAGCGGATGCTTCATTCCAATCTCTGACGCCACTTTCTCTCCTTCTTGAGTCTCCAACTCGACTCTCCACTGTTTCTAGCCTAACTCTTGCCCGGGCTAATTCTCTTCTGTCTCACTCTTCCGTCTCTCTCTTCCGTCTGTCTCAACGCTCGCCCGTCTGTGTTTTTCAGCATAACTACGCGTTTATATAGATAAACCAGGCTGGTTACAACTGACCCTTGGGCCTACTGCTTCGTACGCGATTATCACGGGGTTCTGTCTGCTTCAACCAAAATCATGTGAATTCCAAAGTTCCTTCTCGCTTACTCAGCTCTATTTCAATTTTTAATCGATAAAAATTATTTCGGACATTTCCATTGTCTGCTGATGACTCAGATTCAATGGTTACAACTTCTGGCATAGATCAAATTTCCCCAGCAGTAAACAAAATGCTCTGATTTAATTTCGCTGTTAAAGCTCTCTCTCTCTCTCTCTCTCTCTCTCTCTATATATATATATATATATATATATATATATATATATATATATACAGCGTGGTCAAAAATGTTTTGTCATCTCTTACCTCTCTTCCAATCTGTATCTCATATCAGACTTCGGACCACCCTGTGTGTGTGTGTATATATATATATATATATATATATATATATATATATATCAAAACACTTTAACTTAATGAAACATGTTTTACACCATACATTTCGGTTTGAAGCTAGGGCTTCCCAGATTTCTAGTAGACTGAAGCACCGTGATCAGCTTCGTCCAGCTCTGAAGCAGAGACGCCATCAAAATCCTGCTCTAACAAATTTTATTTGTCAGTGTGGTTTTGTCGCACGCAGCAAGACGGGGCTAGTAACAGACTCAAGAAAGCACAAAGGAAATATGTCTTTCCCTTGTCTGATTTTCTCCACAATAGCCCCTGCTAGCATGCGTAAGTGTAAAACAAAAGGCATACTTAATGCTGACC